GGGGCCAGGGCCTGGGGCGGCGCGCGCCAGGGCGAACGGCGCGGAGGTCGGCCCGGGGCTTTACCTGCCTGTGGAATGTGCAGAGCAGGGTCGGATCCTGACTCCGGGTTGCGATCCGCTCCGGAAACTGCGCAGCACCGGAAGCCGGGGGGCGGTGGCGGAGCATTGTGGGACCTGTAGTTCGCGGGGGCCCGGGGCCTGAGGCACTGGAACCCGCGGCGTGGACAGGAGATGCGGTCGGTGAGGATGCCAGGCGAGAGTGGGCCTGAGAAGAAGGCGGCGTGGGTCGGGGAGTGAGCGGTGTAGACAGGGAACCTGCAAAGTGTGGAAGGAGCACGAAGTGGGGAACGGTGACGAGGGCGGGGGCAGGGGCAGGGGCATTGGGCCTCCCCAGGTACGAGAGGGAGGAGCGGGTCGGATTCTGATCGCTGGGGCTGTCGGACGCCCACGCACGGCTCCTTCCCGCGCGGCATGGTCGGAGCCCGAGGGCTGTCGACGACTACAGCAATGCCGAGGCGCAGGCAGTTCGCCCTGCCTCCTTTAACTTCTGATGGCTACGTGGAGCCTTAATATATTTTTGAGGGAGTGGGTGGAAGAAAAGAAAGGATTTTTTCAAAGCGGGTTTGGGATTTCCTGCCCAGTCATGAATGTTTGGTAGGCGGTTGCCGCAGCGCGGTGTCTCCATTCCAGTTAATACAAACGAGTATTTCTTAAACGCCCAGCATCTAGTCCTCGCATGGCCTGGTGAAGTCTATAGAGGGGCCAGGTTTCTTGCTGGTGAGTGACGGCTAGGGTTTGCATCAATGCGGAGTGGGCTCCTGAAATCCACACCTTAACAACTATGTCATGAAAAACTTGCGTTGTCGCTCCCTCCCCACTTCCTAAACCCCCTTGGTGACCTTTTTGACCCCCTCCCTCAGATAGACATGCAGTCACAAACTGCTGGAAGTAGGAGATCTAGAGCTACTGAAAAAAGGAGAAATAGGCCCCTAGAAATCTTTCATTCTATTTGCAAACTCTTCAGATTCAGAGAAGCAAACTTGTTTATTTCTGCCTAGCAAAAACTCCCAGTTAACAAAATCCAAGGAGGGGTGATAAGGTGAGGGCTCAGTTCCCTCAAATACTTAAAGCTGTTATGAACTGTTAAGAAAAAGGTAACCCAATAGAAAAATGAGCAAAGTCAATGAACAGTTCACAGAAAAGAAAATACTTGTCTCTTAAGCATATGAAAAGCTATTCAACTATACTGTAATAGAGCAAAACTACACAGATCATTTTAATCAAATTAAAGATCAAAAAGTGTAATGGCATTTGAAGAAGAGCCTAGGGAAACAAGCTGTCTCATCCCTTGCTGGTAGGAGAGTCGAAATTCCAAATGCACAAGCCCTTTGGTTCAGCAATTCCACATGCAAGAATTCATCCTACAGACACTTGTATGAAATGGTTTATGTATAAGGTTGGTCATAAATTTAATACCCATTGAAAGGGAAGAACTGAATACATGTGTGCACATCATAATAGGTTGGAATGCTGTGCAGATAAGGAGAGCAAGACCATGCACACTAAGTTGTACTGGTAGGGGTCAGTTCTCCCCCTTCCTGAGTCTACAATGGCTTTCCAGATGTACTTGCGTTAAGTCTGAACCATGACCTTGAAGATGTTTCCAGATTATCCCATCTGTCCATCCTTATCTCTACCTTGCTGATACCCCACCAGCTGTGACATACCATCACCCCCAACAAAATTCCATTCCTCAAGCACTTTCTCAGATCCTCTGCACATGCTGAGCACTTTTTCCAGGTTTTCCATGACCTGTTTTCATCATTCAGGTCTTAGACCTAATGTTCCCCTAGCCCCCAGAGAGCCCTACACTGACCACTACAGCTAATCTACAGCACCCCCCTCCCACATACTCCTTTTTAGTGACATCAGTCACAATTTTAATATGCCCAGATGTCAGTTTCTCTGGGCCTCTGGATGTGTACTAGTGTGCCTGAACAAAAGTGGATTGTTTACAGAAGAAAGTGACAAGTCACAGCAAGACTGAATCCTAGGGAAGCAGACAAAAGGGCTCAAACCATCTCCAGCCATTTTTCTTATCAATATGCTCTGCATAGGACTGGAATTCATATGCACAGTGGACATTATGTCCAAAAGAATTCTGTATGTTCAGCATACCTCTTCTATGAAGGTTGGAAATAATATCTTTCAAGGCAGATCTATACCCAGAGTTCTAAAGTTAAAAATGTTTAGGGACTGAAAGTGTCAAATTTTCGTTATTAAAAACTAATGCAATGTGCAGTCTTTGACCCAATCCCAGACAGGAAAAAACTAAAGCATATTATTGAGACAAGTGGAGAGATTTGAACATGGACTGAAACTGTGTAATAGTATTGCATCAAGGTTAAGTGTTAAATTTCCCACGCATGATAACTATATTGAATATATGATAGGTGGGTGCCATAGTTCTTGGGAAATCCATTCTGAAGGATTTAGGGTGACATGTCAGGATGTCTCCAAACAACATTAGATAGGTAAGAAACAAATGTGACAATATTGGTGAGTTTAGTTGAGAGGTATGTGTTTCAGCCACTTAACAGCTGTGTGACCTTGGGCAAGTTAATTAACCTTTCTGTGCCTTAGTTTCCTAATCTGCAGGATTCCTAATCTATGGTTTATTCTGTACATTTAAAATTTTTAAAATAAGTTTGAGGGGTAATATTAAAAACAAGATACAGAACATCCATTATTATCAGTGAATTTTTACAGGAATGTTATAGAAAGAGATGATTAGCTGTGGTATTAATATGTTACCACTTCCCCATGTGGCCCCAGGCCCCAGGGATGCACTAGTCTCAGTCCTGAGGTCTGGTAGGCCTGTACTGTACTTTCCAATTAACCTGTCTCATCAGCTGTAGTTTTTGTTTGTTTGTTTTTAATGTAAAACTCCTATAGTGCAGGACATTATAGACATACATATTCTTAGTCACTTCTCTCTCCCACTGCTAGCTTTTTAAAAATTCCTGCTAATTTTTCCCACACAGGTAGAGACAAGTCTAATTCAACAAATAATTTTATTCCTACTATGTGTAAAACATTGAATCTCATTCTATATTATTTTCACCCACAACAGGCAGCATTAAACTTCAAGTTCAGAAAAGACTACATAAGGCCATAAGCCCTTGGTCTTTGCATGTGGAGACTTGTGGCTCTGAGTAAGGATTCTTCAGCCAGAAGCCTGAATTCAGATTTTGGTTCTGTCACTTACCAGCTGTGGGCCTTGGGTGAATTACTTAACCTTTCTGTGCTTACTTTCCTAATCTGCAAATTTGCAATAGGTCATAACTCATGTGATTGTTGCAAAGGGTACAGGAGTCACTACATGTAAAGCACTTAGGAAAATTCCTGTTGTTAGGTGCTATCAAGTTGGTTCCAACTCATGTCAACCCTGTATACTACAGAATGAAACACTGCCTGGTCCTGCACCATCCTTCTAATCCTTGCAATGTTTGAGCCCACTGTCAGTCCATCTCATTGAAGGTCCTCCTTTTTTTCCACTGACTCTTTACTTTACCAAGCATGATGTCCTTCTCCAGGGATTGGTCCCTCCTGATAACATGTACAAAGTATGTGAGACCAAGTCTCACCATCCTCACTTCTAAGAAGCATTCCAGCTGTACTTCTTCTAAGACATATTTGTTCATTCTTCTGGCAGTCCATGTTATATTCAATTTTCTTCACCACCACCATAATTGAAAGTCATCAGTTTTTCTACAGTCTTCCTCATGCATTGTCCAGCTTTTACATGGTATGAGGCAATTGAAAATTCCATGGCTTGGGTGAGGTACACCTTAGTCTTCAAAGTGACTCTTTGAAACTTTAAGATATCTTTTGTAGTAGATTTGCCCAATGCAGTGCATCATTTGATTTCTTGACTGCTGCTTCCATGGTCGTTGATTGTGGATCCAAGTAAAATGAAATCCTTGACCAATTCCTGGCACATAGTAAATCCTCAAGTAATGTTAGCTGTTATTAATGCCCATTATCCATCTGTCAGTTTGTTGTACTGCGGTGCCTTGTGTGTTGCTACAATGCTGGAAGCTGTGCCACCAGTATTTCAAACACCAGCAGTATCATCCATGGTGGACAGGTTTCAGCAGAGCTTCCAGACTAAGAGAGTAGGAAGAAAGGCCTGACAGTCTACTGAAAATTAGCCAGTGAAAACCCTATGGATCATAACAATATTGTCTCTGATACATTGCCAGAAGATGAGCCCCTTGGTTGGATGGCACTCAAAACATACAATAGCTGCAACAGTGCACTCAAGAGTACCAACAGTCATGAAGATGGTGCAGGACCAGGCAGCACTGCATTCTTTTGTGCATGGGGTCACCATAAGTCAGAGCAACTCAATGACAACTAACAACAGCAACAACATTACTGTGATTTCAAGTCCTTCTCTCACTCAAACTCACTGCTGTCGAGTCAGATCGACTCAGCGACCGCTCCATGGATTTCTGAGGCGGTTTCTCTATGGAAGTAGATTGCCCAGTCTCTCTAGCTGTTGCATAAAATGCCAAGAAGCCCAAACCACCTAAGCATTCAACTCTGGTTTATAAATATCAACAGCATCAATATTATCAATAGTGTTGAATTCTTGTTATGGGCAGGGCACAATTTGGCAGTACCCACTGTTGGCAGTTTTGTGGCAAAACCAAAGTGAACCATAGTATGTCTGAAAACTCATGCTTCTGGGTCACCACTGGGAAGGAGGGTCTGACCTCCACAACTCTCCACAGTGCTCCAGAGAGCACTGCACCAAGTCGTGAATCCTGTACCTAGCCCTGTGAGCAATCTGCACATTCTTTGTTATAAATTATCGATTGACATATGCACACAGCACCCTGTATTTGGAAGAGATTGAGGCCAAGATCAGCATACTTTCAGATGCCTCCTCCCATGTCCTGTTCCATCTCGACACTGGGTCTTTGGTGTGTGGGGTGGGATGGGAGGGAAAGAGTTTCTGTGTGTGCTGATAGAAGGATTATCAGCTGACATTCAGTGTTCTCTATGAGGTGGGCCCTGTACTAAGCCCAGGGAAAACAGGGACTTGCATTCCAGTATGGTGAGGAATAAATTTGTGAAAGGAGTCCCAGCATCCTTGAA